AATAATAATTAGTGTCCATTTATAAAATGAAACCCATTCTTAAAAAAAGTGAAGTATTAAATTGAAAAATCCTCCTTTACACATAAACATAAATGAGTGAAATAAGTTAATGAAAATATGTCAAATTCGTTACTTTTGTTTTTTTTTTAAGAGTTTTATATATAAAATGCTTGGAAGAAGGCTATCTTTTTTTTTGGATTTTTCAATAGGCGTGTAAGTGGGAAAAATGATTGTCTTGGTAATTTTGGCTGGCATTACGACATTAAGAAATTATAGTAAGAATTTGACAATCATGATGTAGATCAATTTATTTATCGTTTTGTGAGTTAGTTTTTATAAAGATCATCATTAGATTATTAGATTAATAACGTTATTATTATAAAAATCACTTATATATATAAAGACCGATACAAAGACCGGGTCAGTCTCAGGACTGGTCCTACTGCGCCAAGTAAAAATGAAAAACCGCGGTCCGGTCCTACAAGTCCTGGGACTGACCGGTTCAGGACCAAGTAGGACCGGTAGGACCGATGACCATCTTTACATTACACGAATTTCCAAAAAAGGAATTTTATTTTCCAGTAAAATCGGAGAAATGTATCACACAAATATTACACAAAATTCCATAAAAGGAAATTTATGTGTCGATCATTATTCTGGCCAGAATTATAGTATTAATGTTGGCCAATAATTTTGGCCAAATTTCGGCCTTTCGGTAAAAGTTTCGGCATTGTATAATTTCGGCAAATTTACTTTTAATTGCCTAAACTTTCGGTTTTAAAAAAGTTTCGGTCTTGGCCTAAACTACTTGATTTCGGCAAGCAACCTTACTTCTGATAGTTTAGTTCATTTTTTTATTTTACTTTTTCATTTTTGATATGTTTATAAAATTTGTATTCGCTAACTATTACTGTTAAATAAAAATAAAAATAAAAATAAAAATTAGATGTATAAAGTTATATTAAAATTTTGGGTTTAGATCTGAGTTGTATATGTATTCTTCAGGGTCCTATTGCATCTTACTGGGTGGATATAGCTTATGATAATTTGTTTGTATAGTATATAAACTACATATCAATAAAGCATATATAAATCATTAAAAAAAAAAAATAATAATAATAATAATTATAAATAATTTATCATTGTATCAATAAAATTATTGTATCAATATCAATGAAATGATTGTAGTATGAATGAAAATAGTTGTTACTCAAAAATGTCAAAAGATGAGATGAAAGATAGAAAAGAAAGATAAATAAGAATATATTTGTAAATTGTTATAAATAGGAGTGGAATTCAATAGGAATTCACCAGTTTTTAGACTCAAAGTCTTTAGACTCAATAAAATATTAATTATTAAAAGTTATTTTGAATATACTTATTATTTGCTTGAAATTTAATTAATGTTTAAGTTAAAAAAAATGAAATAATAGGAAAGTTTTCCAAATTTGAAAATGATGTAAAAGATAATAAAATATGGGAGAACTATCGAAGTTTGAAAGTTAAAATAAAGTATTAATAAAATCTAAATCAAGTGTGATAAAGTATAATTTGAATAATGAAATATGTATCTATTGGTATATAGTAGATATTAGTGATAATGTGATGCATGAAGAATGATTTTTTTTTAATTATATATTAGCAAAACGTTATACTAATGTTTTAACTTTTTTTAGATAAATGGAATCTTATATATGTAAAATTTTGGCATGAAATCAGAAATCTTTTAAATGGCAGGAAAGTTCTTTGAACATATGGAAATCTGATAGGCTATTTTTATGTTTTTTCTATAATTCATTTATTTTAATGAATAGTATTAACAGTTCATATTATTTTCCTTTTCTAGATAGCTTTTTTGCAAAAATTACCTTTTTAACCCTTTACAACTATTTGTCATATTATTGCACAATATAAATAAATATTATACAGTATAGCTATAAATTAAATGTGATGTTTTATGTAGTAATACAACTATTACACAGGTCAGAACGTAATTTTTGCAGTCTTTAGAGTTCAGATATTAAGTATTTTGATAAAACAGCTACTAATAAACATTTTGTTTTTTTTGTATTCTTGGATGCATAAGAATTTGGGAAATGAGCATTTTTTTCTTCAAATTAATTCTATTAACAAAACAATTGCTAATGTCTCATCTTTTAGATGACTTTTTGGCTCTTTGGATGTTAGTATTGTTTATAATTTAAATATTTGTTTTTTAACAAACTATTACTGACAGCTCATTTTTATATTTTTTTTATATAGTTTATTATTTGATATCTTTGAACATTAATTTTGGTAAGAGATGAATATTTTTAAATTATTTGATGAAATGATTACATTTCTTTTACTTTTTAGACGCTCCTCTTCTTTAAATAGACAGTAGTTTTTTCTTTTTAGACACAGATTTTAGTAGGAAATGATTTCCTTTTTATCTTTATTTGCCATTTTTAATAAATAGTTGTTAACAGTTCATTTGTTTAATTGTTTTTTTTTTTAGGTATGTAGAGCTTTATAGAATTTTAGTAAAAAACTTGGTCTTTTTCTTTTATTTTTTTAACGAATTATTAGATTCAAGATGATGATCTTTATTTAATCCTTGAATTCCTTAAAATAGAAATCTGCTTATGCAAGTATTTATTAAGTACATGGCCTTTTAACAATTTGTTTTCCTTTTTTTTAGATAAGTTTTTGATTCTCTTCGTTTACATAAAATTTTTTTAACCTTTTTTTAATTTAATGAACTGTTTCTAATGGTTATTTTCTTTCTTTATTTAGATGTGGTGGGACATTCAGATTTCATATCTACATACATGTAATATTGATTGATCATTCTTAGAACAAAGAATTTTGGTAAGTATATATAATACATAATATTTTTTCTTTATTCCTCCTTTTAACTAATTATGATTCCAAATATTTTTTTCTTTATAAGCGATTTTCAGGTCTCTCAAATGAGTAAGTGTATGAAAATCCAAAGAAATAAGGTTCTTTAAATTTATTTTTTAATAGAACAAAACTTTGGATCTCTTAGACGCATAGAAAGCTCTTTGATTTTTTTTTCTTTTTAGACATGTCAGTTTATTATGTATTTTTATTATATATTTACCATAAGTTTACTATATATTTATTATAAAGTTAATATAAATTTATTATGAATTTACTACATTTTTAATGCAAACTATATATGCCACCCAAATTATTTTGGACTGCCATAATTATAAGTAAAATCCCAAATTTAATTATGGCATCCCAAATTATTTTGGCACTTTACATAGTAAATTATATATAAACTGAATGAATTATAGCATTCCAAATTATAATTATGATATCCCAAAATAATTTGGGCAGCATGTATAATGCAAACCATATATATTATTACTTTAAATCATTTATACAGTTTCTTGTTAACATTTATATATAATTTTTTTGTATTAACAACACAATTTCTATATTATGACTATAATTTACTATATATTTTTATATTAAATATATATAACTGCGTTAAAATTAATATAGAGTAGCTGTATGTTTACTATGTTAAATGGTGGTAACATGGCTACTATATAGTCATGATTTTATAGGTTTCAGTAAAGTAAATTAATAAATTTGCAAACAATAATCATAAATTTACCTGAAGCATTTTGATAAATACAGTCAACCTTTGTTATAACTTATAACGAACCCTAGATTCCAGAATCCAGATCTCAACTTTGCTATAGGGCTATAATGAAGATTTTAAGAGATTTGATTGGTTAATTCATTATAGTAAGGGGGAAATTTATTATAGTTATCTAAAAAATTCACTATATTAAGGATTCGCTATATTAAGGTTTAACTGTATTTTATTATTTTACCATCTTTTAATTCTTAAATTTCCAGTTTTTATGCCATCATTTTGAGCTAAAGCAACTAAGTAAATTTGATAAATTATTATATTGCAGTAAATTTATCACATAAAATAAAATATTGTAATAAATTTATCTAATATAAAATGTATTTTTTTTGTTTGCTATTTATATTGAAAATTGATGTAATACTGCTTATGATATTTTTTAAATATACACTTTTATTAGAAAAATCACATATAACCTTAAAATTTTATCTAAAATTATATACTTTTTTTACTGTAACTTAATTTGGTAGTACTTTAATTTGACTTGTAACTTTTTCTTAAAATACCCATTTTTTCATATGACTTTTCCATTAAAAACACAAAATTATATACTTTTTTTGCATATAACCTTTATTATAATTATCCAGGGTCCTACTTACATATATGGGAAAACTGATTAGATTTTCAGCAAAATGACAAAAGAAATACTGGACTATTTGGATTAAATTAGTCATAATACCTCACGTGGTATGAATTCACTTTAATGGATGAATATAAAGAAAAGAAAAACTGAGAGAAATTCCAGTTAATAATGAGATTATCTGACTTTGTTATTATATAAGATTCTGGAATCACAACCTAGTGCATGATTTTATTTTAATATAGTAGTAAAATCATTGAGGTCATTAAACAAAGTGTTAGAGAATAGTAAGGCGAAGAGAAATAAGAATCCATTGCAAATTCCAAGAAGAATAACAAGAAGATGAAGAGTTCAACCAAAATATTCAGTAAAATAGTGGAACTGTTAAGTATTTTTGTTTAATACTTTTCTTAGTTCCTCTAGAATAAATTTCTTAATTAGTTAAAATTCACATTAATGTATGTTTTTACATTGCTTTTCAGAATGGTATTACTTAGTTCCCTACTAGTTGGTAGAGTTAAATGATAGAAGGGTGTGGTAGTTTTCTATTGTACTCTTCTACATATTTAAAAAAAAAAAAATTCTATGAATAAATTAAAAATATAGAAAATATTAAAAAATTTGCTTGGAACAGAAATAATAAAATAAGGAGACCCCTAAATTATATACTACTTCTTTGAGGATATGTAAATGAAAATGACTATGACATTCTAAAGCATTTTTATCTTTAGCCATTTCCAATTCCCAATGCCTGAAGCTTATAGAAAGCATTCTACTGGCACAACATTTCTTGCATTCAACACCACCACCACCACCACTACCACCGCTACTGCTACTACTACCAAAAATAAGCAAGAAGAAGAAAGTCAGTGCAACAAGAGCATGTACCAAATGACAAAATCGGGAGCTGTAAATTGAACGCTTAGAAGAAACTCTCAATTGTACACTGCCAGTCAAAGTGTACCCAAAACAATTGTTGAAATGTTGAATGGGATTGGCAAGGTTTGTTTATAATTCTGTAGCAAAAGGTGTTATTTCACAAATGAAGATGGTGTTAAAAAAAAGAGAGAGAAAGATATATAAATCCTATGACTTATCAACATAAACTTCCTTTATTTAATGACATCCGAGCTGGAATAAATGTAACTTTTTATTACAACATTACAACGGCAAATCACAATATACAACAGATCAGCTGATTGCTAACAACTTTGTATCATGAGAATAGAAGTCATTCAGTCCAAATCTGTGCATTTTGTTAAATTTAGATCTGACAGTAATTTACCACAATAGTATAAGTCTTTCTTGTTAGGTGAACAAATAATAATTTTATTAAATAATATATTGTTACCAATAAAAGAATACCTAATTGCATCATATTGACTCATCGAGATAAAAATAGAAATATAATTTTATACAAGAATTATTGAACTCTGTGTATATAATTATTTTGTTTTTTTTGCGCCTAAATGAGAAACTTTATAATAAAAACGAAACTAATTTGCTCATAAACTTAAATAATAATAATAATATACCTCTATCAGAATAAAAAGAATTTTTGAGTTTGTGACGATACTTCGGATTTATCTGTTTGAAATTCGGAGCGTAATGAAGCTTAAATTCATGTATATTAACGATTATTTGGGGGAAATGGATCACTTAAAACATTAAATTCATCAAATTCTTAATATGGAGCATAATACTGAGTTTTAATAACAATAAGTATTTCCAATTCCAATGAATTAATTAAAATAAGATAAAATGAATTTATTCATTTTGTCATTCACGAGTTACCAAAAGACCAGCTGATCCCGATGATCCTTATTAATAAATACAATCATAAACCGATTTTTGAGAGTTAATATTATCTACTAAGATTAGAAAGATTAGGAAAATCAACATACTGTACATATATATACAAGGAAATTTCGTTAAATTAATCAAATATTTTTCACAACTAAAATGGCACTCTTAAATCTCATTTTTTCAATTGGATTATATGACACGTTTTTAATTTTTTTAACATTAATTATAGTATATACATGTCATTTTTATTATAAATATTTTATGCGTGAAAATCCATTACCTGGACCACTTCCGTTACCCTTTGTTGGAAATATTATAGATCGTGGTTTCGATGAATTTGATGAATATACTGAACGAATGCAAAAAAAATATGGTGATATATTTGAAATATATTTTGGTTCACAAAAATTTATCATGTTGAGTAAATATGAATATATACAAAATATGTTTGATAATTCATTAAATTCAAAATATATGAGACGTATTCCATATATTTAAGGATTAGATGAATTAGACGTGGCAGGAAAAGGAATAGCATTAAATCATAATGTAAATGTTTGGAAATTTAACCGACATTTTATCTCTAGAGCTTTACTTACACCAAGTTTTTCTAAATATTCAGTAATTTGGACACAAAATTTGGTTGAAGAAATGATGGATTATTGGAAAGATGGAGAAGATGATGATGGAAATTTTAAAACTAATATTGTAGAATGGTCTCATAGGTTTACAACAGATTCAATTACTCATTTCACTACAGGAATGAGAGTTCACACTATTGAAGCACATTATAATGAATTATTATTATCTAGAAATAAAAAACCAAGAAAATCTGTTAATGATTTAAAGGATGCTACAAAGTTTTTTAAAAGTATTAAAACTTTAATTATTGGAGTTTATTTCTTTATTATAGTTCCGCCTTTCATTAGAAAATATTTTCCTTTTTTAAGTAATGAAAATAAAAAACATTTACAAAATCGGGATTGGTTGTTTAGTAAAATTGATGAACTCATTAAAAGTAGAAGAAGAGAAATTGAATATACACCTTTAAATCAACCATTAAGATTTGATATGTTAACCTCGATGTTAACCGCTTATACTGATCGAGATATTTGTGAAGTGAAATATTATGATGAAGAATATACAAGCAGACCATTAACTGATGAAGAAGTTCGCGGGAATTTATGGGAGACATTTGTTGCAGGAATTGATACGGTAAATATATATTTGTATTTTATCGCTATGGCTCAGGAATTATATTGAATGTCACGGGCCAAAATTTTTGTCGCGCCGGACAATCACGTGACATTAGCGATGAGTGTAACTAACGCTTTATTTGCATTTTAGACTGCCAATTTATTTACTTTTGTTGTTTACTTTTTGGACAAATATCCAAATGTTTTAAGAAAACTTCGAGATGAATTGGATTTATTCTTTAAAAAATTAGGTGATCATCGCTTAGATTTAGATTGTTTATCACAACTTGTTTATACTGAAGCAATAATTAAAGAGATCTTTAGAATATATACACCAGCACCTTACACTGCACGAAATAGTACCGCAGAGGATGTTGTGGCAGGTCTCGTATGGCCCGAAGGAACACAATATATTATAAATATTCATGGCGTAAATAATAATGAAGTATATTGGGATGAACCTGAAAAATTCAATCCTGAAAGATGGTTTAATAACCAAAAAAGTGAAAAGTTAATGCCTCATGTAGTATTTGGTGGGGGTCGTAGAGTTTGTCCTGGTAGGAAATTGTCTTATATTGAACTTAAATGTATGATAGCTTTAATATATCATAAATTGGATATTGAATTAGTAGTTAAAGATACTCCTTTGAAAACTAAATTTGTGCTTATTAGAGCGTTCCCTGAATTGAATGTTCGAATTAAACCTAGACAAAATAATATTTAAAAAACTAATTTTCCTTTTTTTTCTTATATCTTATCATTAATATAATATCAATTTTATTATTATTATCATATTATTTATAAAATTAAATTTCTTACCCCCTATATCATTAAAAAATTTTTTAAATAAAGGATTTAGTTAGTTTAAATTATATATAAAATCATATAAATATGTAATAACACACCCTATATTATTAAATGATTTTTTTAAATGAAGAATTCAGTTCGAAATATTATCTCATATTACTATGTACTTGGAAAACGGAAACCGTTTAAGTCCGTTGCATAACTCGCGATCTACGTCATTTATTTATTTAGCATATTTCAGGGAAGTGTTACATAAATCGTGATACATACATATTCAAAAAAAGAAATAAAATTGCCGATTGTGACAGGGACAAAAACGGGGTTAAACCAAATTTTGCTAGTTCAGTACAGTAACTAGTCCGCTTAGCATAATAATAAAATTATTGGATAGCAACGGGAGTTTATTATAAAATTTCCGTTGTGTTTAATACTATAATATAATTATCAAGAAATTCGTACAACAACGAAAATCATAACCTAAAATGGTTAAACTAACACTATTAAACATCAACGTCAGTGTCAAGATTCATGGTTGGGGCTATTATTATAAATTAATAAAATAAAATAAATAAACCATTTCAAGTAATAGAAAGTAAGAAATATCAGCTTTAAATAAATACAAACATACCACAGCTTCAAAAGTTTTATAGGTTAATTTCAAATCAGGAGCAATATTAATTATTGCACCTTTGTTTCCGCATACACCACTAGCGCACAATCATTGTGTAAGAAATTACCTATAATATTTTAAATATTAACAAAGTTTATAATAATACTTACCAGTAATCTGGAGCAGAAAAAATAGTAATGCACTTTCCATTATGTTCAATTTCATAACCTTCTTTTTTAACTTCATGACTTCTTATTAAAAGATCTAATAAAATACAATAAATAAATTTAGTCGTAATATTATTATATAATTGATATATTTTAATTGTATATAATCATACCAAGATTGTTACGTTTCAAAAAGTTTTCAGTAATGTCAGGTCCAAATCCTATTCCAATTCCTCCTCTCTTACCAATATCACATCCAGGTTTTTCTTTTGGATCTTAAAAAAATAACAAATTCAGAATTATCAAAAATAAATATATCTTATTAACGTAATTCATACCGGACCACAATAAGTATTCCATTAAACTATCAGCTTGTACATAACTCTTAAATCGGTAAATATTTTTTATATCATCTAATGTGATATCACTATTAGATAATCCACCATGAACTACCAAAATTTTTTTGTTAATAAGATTAGCTAAAGGCAAAGTTTCAAATGTTTCAGCAAAATACTCAAACATTGTTTTTGAATATTTGGTATTAACTTCATTTTCAAAACCGTAATTTTTTGCTAATGTTATATGTTCGTGGTTTCCTCTAGTTAGGTAAAATGACTTTGGATAAAGCCATTTATAAGCAAACAAAGCCAATATAACTTCGAAACCAAATGAACCACGATTAATAAAATCACCATTAAACAGGTACATATTCGTTTCTGATGGTACACCATTAATTTTGAAAATATTAATAAAATCATAAAATTGACCTATATTAATAATAAATTTTTTAGTTATTAATTTACTAAAATTATTAAGTATATATATATATATACATATTTTTATTAAATTAACTTACCATGAATATCACCACAAACAGTTAATTTGGAATTTTGAGGTATGGTTATATCAACAAGCGTTGGTGTTTCTAACATCATTTTTCTGACCGTCAAAATGATCTGGTTATAAAGTATAAAGTACATGTACGTTTAAAAAAATAAAGTACCAGATTTACATAATAACGTACATAAAATGCAAGTGCATGGAAGAAACAATTACTTATTACTTACTTGATAAGCATACTTCTCATGAATTTTCTTTTTTTTTTTGAAATGTTCTATCATATCTTCAACAAATTCTTTTGTGATTATCATATCGTCAAATTTTGGTCCATAATATTGAGCTTCCACTTCTATTGAAAGTATTACAAAAGGTATGAATAAATGTAAAAAATGGCGCAATTTTTTCAAATACTTGATTTAGTACTTACCAATTTCATTTATACTTTTGAATTTTGTATTCCAGTCTATTTGGCTCGTAACATTCACTACTTGGAGAAAAATGTAAAAAATATTTTCAAAAAAGTTAGAAACAAAGGATTCTTACTTGAACTATTATAAGCTCCGGTTGAACCAAAAGAACGGGTAGAGTTAAAACTTGGACGATTGAAGAAAACACTACTAATAGCTAATTTTGTAGTAGGAGATTTAAACAAAGGTTTAACAAAAATAGATTTAAAAGATTGCATCATAGAAGGATTCAAATATCTGGTAGCCATTAGGATAGAAATCTTCAAAAAAAAAAGCGATTGTTGGGAAGTGGTTTAATATTGATTAAAAATTTAGTCACAATCAAAGCCACAATCAACATTTTTGGCCAATCATTTATTAACCTTCCACCGACGTAATATAATTGTTTCAACATCAAATTTAAAAAAATCCTTATACAGTAAATCACACGAACCAATAATTCTCGTAACGATTTTTTTTATTTTCCAGAGCGAAACGTAAGACTGTTTGTTGTATGGTTATAGATAAATCTAATCCCTGTAATCTACCCCTGCTTCTTCATTTTTTCGGTTAATCGGTTATATAATGAACTAAAAAAAAATCCATGAAAATCTTCCCTTTTTTGGATAATTTATGATAATGCCAGACAGAATTTTATTTCCTATTATAGTAACTGACTGACATTATCATAATTTCGCCCTGAAAAAATGCGTACAGCTCATAGTAAAAATTTTTTCATCACCTGACCCTATATATATAATTTTGGGTCCGTACCACTTTTTCGTCTGGTAAAATATTCGTCTTTTTATTTTATTTTATTTTTCATTATTACGGCTTACGGGCTTAGTTCATTTTTATTTTTACTTTAGAACGTTCATACAATCGTGAATCTGTCTACAGCCTCGCTTTATAACGAATTTTTCCTACCACGTGATATTTAACCAATCAAATATATCAAATAGATCACTCAATTAAATTCTTTAAATTCTTTGCTACAATAGCGGAATTTGAGGAGGGTTCGTTGTAATAAGGCCTGACTGTAACTAATGAACCCACATTACAATACATAAAAAACATATCAGGGAATTTCATCTAAATAGATTTAATAACCCGGCGTAAAGCTGAATTTGCAAAATCCCTGGGCACTGAAGTCAACAAAAAAAAACCAAAGAACCTCAAACCTAGAAAGCGCCACTTATACAAAATTAATTAATATAAAGTTACTCCATTCTAAACTATTACACCTAACGCTAACGACCCTTTCATCTAATTTGGTAATTTCCACCAGAATTACTACTGTAAGTGCCTATTGAACATGACAACCGAAATGATCATTTCATTGGATTGGTTGATATTTTATCATATGAAAAATAATGCAGGTCAACATTACCCTAATGGCTGAGCAATGAAATTAATCATTTGACACACTAACTGCATAAAAAATCTCAGAGATTATTGTCCAAATAATTTGTGGTTATCGCAGTAAGCCATACATGATGAAATTGTGCCCAATTATCGATAATAATGGAACAACGTTTACATTTATAATTCGAGTTCATTCGACACGATGATCTACTTCTGAGCAGACAATCAGATGCGGGTTTAATAATAATATTTGCATGGCATGCATGTGCATTACGCCATTACAATAAATTAATAAAATTTTTTCTATAACGAATCCTAAAATTTATTCCACGTGATTTATCTTAATGAATGTAATTCAAAATTTATGACAAAATAATGCATTTTGTTATGGATCAACAATATTATTAATACAATATTTTCTTCGATGAATCGACATTAATTTACAAATTAGATTAAAATTGTAACCCAATTATACTGAAAAATCGTCAAGCATTGGGTCGTTTCAGATTTTATTATCCTAATTCTTTCGTTATTGGCGATATTCCACATATTCTTCGGATGTAAATCAGCTGTTTCATGCGATAACTTTCAAAGGAATGTTTTTCTGTATAAAACCTTTCTTACATGAAGTTAAAAGACTATTTTATTTCTATGATATTCATTACATTACATTATCTGCACAATAAATAATTTATATATTGAACTACTGATTGCCTTAATAAGAATTTAAATGTAAAATGATGGCATACATCAACGCCGCCAGTATAGAAATATTATATTTCACTTTCTATATACTATTATAGTTTGTTTCTCATGAACGTACCTTAATTGTTTGATCAAAGATCATCAGATGGGATGTAAATCAAGTCGATCCTTTTGGGTATTTTTTGAGTAAATATTAAGACCTATTCAAATTTAAAGGATTAATCTTCATATTCGTCCCGACTCACGAGATAATAGAAACATTACTTACTTTTTTTTTGCTCATTGTCCGCCGTGAATATGTACATTAAATCAAAAAAATCAAAATTATATTAATATATAAAATTGGATTACTACGGACAATATTGGATTATGCAATAAATTCGATCAAATTACTTGACTCAAATCTGAAACTAACAATTTTACAGATAATTATTGATAAATTATTCGACGTTTAATATTTTAATAATTAAAAATAATCAAATTTCAGAATATATAATGTCAAAATTTTTAATAATTTAGAAAAACATTGTTATTTACCTTGAATAATACGGTTGGAAAACGTGTTTGATGTGATAATTACCAATAATTTTTTCTAAAAACGTAACTACCACCTTAGAAATTCCTTTAATAGCGATACTTTTATTGCCGAGTAAAATAAATAGAATTCAACATTGCTAATTGTCTAGCGGACAGAGACCGTCGGCTTTAATAAAAATAAACTGAAACAAGAAACACTCTGTTAGTTACCTGAAAAGAAATAAATATTTTAATAAATTTAATAAGTATACTAATAAGAAGAGAGTTTTCTCAAAAGAAGAAAAGAAAAAAAAAAAGAGTTTCCATAGCCCGATCATATGGAATTTTTTGGAAAGGAAAAAGCCAAGGTTAACTCCCCGTGTTCTGTATTGTTGTTTAGGGGTTGGAAATTGTCACATATGTCACGCCCTCGCTCTTCGCCTATACCAGGAACAGAAATTATTTGGTAAGAAAATGCAATATATACTATATATCACATGATAATGGAACTGAAATTACTATATATTAAAACAATAAAAAAAAGAATTATTATAGATTAAACAAGTTAATAAACAGGTTTTACTTCAATACCAGTAATTTTTAAAATTACGTTAACGTAAAATTTTTCCGTAATATACAGTATATGCATATTAGGATTTTGGTTACTATCCGGGAATTACCGGAATTTTTCTTTTTTTTTTTTTAATAATATGGAACAAATTTATAGAGATATGTGTCTTATGTGTCAAGAACAGCGACACTTACCGTCATATCCATATATCCGCTTATTTTAAATCACCTCTAACCATTTATTTCTATAATCCCGTACGGCTCATTAAAAGTAATAAAGGACGCTATCGATAGATTTTACAAATCATAGCAATAAATAAATTATTTTCTTTAATTTGAAAAAGTAATCCAAAGGTTTGTTTTGATTGATTTTCTTTTTTTTTTTTTAAAAAAAATAAATCATATATATATAT